ACCACCGGCTGTTGCTTCAGAAACAGCGCTGCGACACGGCCTACGTCACTGCCCGCCCCTACTATTGTCACCTGATAGGTTGAACAACTCGTAAAAAAGAACTCGATCGAAAAACTTACTACTGTCCAGTAACTTCATAACAGTGAAGTGGACACAAACCTTCCTGGGTGGAACACGCGGTACGGGACAGCATCTATCACAATCTTTCTCTATCTGCGCCAAGACATCGGACATTACGTAATTACGGAACTTTGCTTTTGGAACAACCATCCAGTTTTGCGGAGTAAGTTTCTTGAATGATCGATGAAACATTTTCATACTAGAACTGTTGCTACTTTTTAATTTTGGATTGGATTTGAAGAACTATTCTATGTGTTTTTTAAAACATTTTAAGTTTTGGTGTCATTTTAGAAATTGATGAAAACAGATTTGATGATCAAAAGTCGCTGTCATTTTACGTCAAAATGTACCATTTTCTCTAGAATAAAAATGTATATTTATGGAATAAAGATTAATACATATTTATTATCAAAAACAAAAACTGTAATTAATTTGTTTAATACTAGACACTCTTATCTCGATAGCCAACTTCAAAAATTCTTGTACCATTAGAAAGCTAAATTATTGCCGAGTGACATAGGTTTATTACCTGAAACAATTATATTTTTTTTAAATCTAGTTTTAAACAAGAAAACAATTTTATATTACTGTTGTGCTGTACGTTTTTAACCCTTTATTATATCTCATCGAAAAAACTAAATGCATTAACCTGCCTTTGCGGTAAAGCACCTTGTAGACGAGGAATAAAATCAAACCACAAATAGAACAGACATCAAATTTAATAGATAAGTTTATGTATAACATTCATAGTGATTAATATTATATTGTCTACCCATACACAGGCGTACTCATACACGAAGGAATTCAAAATGACTAGAACTATTCAGATCGAAAGCCGCCAAGACTCCCCTTACTATAACCCCATACAATGCTTACCGTGACTAAATTTTTATAACACATGTAGAACAAATTGTACAACAAACATATCTGACCCGGTAAGAGGCACACTTCACGATTAGAACGCGTACACCTTTGCATAAACTATCACACAACTGTAAAGTCGCGCTTTGAATCCTACGAGCTTTGGAGGTGCGGACACGAATCTAGTATACAGTTGAATTGGCAGAGAAACAATCGACAATCGCACAACAGTCGTGCGATAGTTTAGTCAAAAGCGTGCGCCCGCTCTTTAAGTAAACGAAGATATATGCTTGATCAAGGCGCGGCGTTTAGTTCTATCAATGAAAATGTACTTACGGCCGAATACTGAAGCTAATTTTAAACTCTTCGCTTCGTAAACGCCGCGAACAATCTGACAGATAACAAAATTATAATGGGATTTTAAAGTTTACGTTATAACTTAAACGTTTTTATAGATTTCACTCTTTTGACATTGACAGAAGGGCGCTAGTGTGCTATTGTTTAGTTGAAAGCCCTCGGGTCAAATAAGTTTGTTAACATCTTTGTTATTATATCGTTATTATACATATGTTACAACAGTAAAGTCAGTAAGACCACATACATACATTGTTATAACTAGCAAATCTCTAAATCTAATAAAGGCAAATCTGATAAACTTGGCTTATATCTGACTAATATCTCAATGTAAGAGTATAGCATTACAAAAAACTGCCTGCCATACGTAGAATGCGAAACTGTTATTTGAACCGGTAAAGGCGCTGATATCAGGGTTAATTCTGACAGATATACAAACCTATTTAGGCACAGATAATGCAATAAAAGACTATTACAACACAAGATTTTTTTTTCAACCCGAGCTGACGACGCTCCTAGGTGAACCCCGAGCTTTTTTTAAAAAAATAAAACAGTGACGACTTAGTGACATAAAAAAAGATTTTGACACTTAGTTGACATTGACAGGAGAGCGCTAGTGAACTGTCATAATTTAGTTAGACTTATGCCCTCCGGTTCAGATAACATTATAGGAGTACAATAAAAATTTTAATCCGTAAAATTACACTACCAATATCGTCTCTCTTTTACAAAGATAATAAAAGAGATGAGAATAAGTTTCAATACAAGTTTCGGCAGTGGAATTTAACAGTTACAAAAATGAAATAACACTATATACAATTGTTAACATAAGATTAAATAAAATAGCTTACAATAAATAATCTTTGTGTTACATTAACGAAGAGATTTCTGTTACAAAATAATCTGAACAAAAAACTTAGCCCTTACAAACGAGGGTCTGCGTTTTTTTGCTGCGCCAGTGATTAGAAAAATGGGTTAAAATTCTAATCTCTTATACCTATAATAACATAAAGAATAACTTATAAATAAACAATATTCTCTGCTGTGCATAAAGCAATAAAAATCTAAATATGTAACAACAGCAAATTATATAAACTTTGAAAAAATAAAACAAAAACCTGAATAAAACTATATATTTGTGACAATTCCTAAAGCAATTTCCTGAAAACCCTAAATTTTTTATTGATATTACGAAACTTTCATTACATTTTATTTAAGTTTTTCATTTAATTAAAAAATATTTTGTAACTGGCAATAATACCTATATTTGCGGTAAACAATTTAAAAAACATTTTAAAAACAATGGGGAAACAAAAAAAACGTTTAATCGACGTATCTCAAATACAATTCATTTTATTATTTATCAAAGCTATTATTTGTTAATAACAGTTTTAATATAATGGACAAAGCGAAAAAATTAAAAAATCGACTGCTTAACAAACATTTTTTCGATGAATAGTAACATAAGCTTATAGTAATGTCATCTTTGAGCATATTTTTTTTTCATAAGAAAGGTCAGTCGAATCCGAATCCGAAATATCCCAGAAAAGACCTTGCAACGAGTTAATTATAAAGATTCTCAAACATCTTGGCGGCTCGGAACTTCGCAAGAGTACAATTTTAGGTATAAAGAGTGAAAGGCGATAGGAGTGGGGAATCGTATTACACAGCATAGATTACCTTGAACCGCCGAAAAAATTGAAACGGCCTACACCTACCAAATATCTCGCATTCTACTCACAACCCGCTACTAAATATACTTAAAGTAGTTCATAAGATAGTCCATAACGAACTTCGCACAATCATACTTGATACTTGGAAAAGGACCTCATTTCTTGATGCTTGCAAAGCTTTTACCAGCTAAATTTTGTGACATTTGAAAATATAAAAATGTAACTTCGGACAAAAAATAGAAAACCTTGCTGCCAGAATAAACAAAAATACTTTTAAAAAGTAAAATCTTTAAAAGGTATTTATGAAAGAATTCTTACAATCCGCAGAGCTCTAAATAGTTACAAAATATACATTTTAAGTGAAATTACCTAAGATATTCAAAACTTATAGTCCAAAAATCTGCAGTAATAGAGAAGTTACACGACTATTTAATAATATACAAGAGGTCTATTAAAATATTAAAGGCATCGACTATTAAAATATCTCCAAAATAGACAGTAGGAATAACAAGTGTAAAACATCGAAAAATCATCATCTTTTAAGCGTAGCAAGAAAAGGCATCAAATAATAAGATAAAAATATTTTTTTCATATCCAAACTATAGATACAGAAAAAGAATTAATAAACGTATGACGTCATAGACGTCAATCGCAGAAGAATCTTTTCAATACGTTTGTAAACGCATTGATTTTCACAAAAATAATTTCATAGAAAAATCATTTGCGACGAGTCGATAGGTTCGCCAAAGGGACGAAGAAACTTTCGTTTATACGAGACGTACGTATAGCAATTATTACATAATCCATGGCCCTATGTAAACTATCGTAAGTCACAATTTTTCGATTTAAACTTTGTATGTTTAAATTAACTTGATAAATACTATTTTTGCGTAAATTTGAAAGCAACATTAAAAAGCAGAACCAGTTTTATTTGCCTTTTTTACGTTAACATTTAATGCATCGTAATAAATCGTATTAATGTTTTTAATATCTGTCAAAATTTGCATTTCAAACATACGATAGTTTACGTAAGAGCAATCGATATGAGAGCTGCAGTCTGCAGGATATAACAAAACTGGTTTCATGGTTACCCTACCATCCTTAATGAAGCTAATGGAGGAAATTAAATATGTATTCACGTTATACCTATATACAGGGGGGAAATAATCATGGCTGACTACAAAGTAACCTAAAAATCATATAAAACACATTTTATCTTGGCTTACAAGTCCTTTTAGCTAATTCAAACACTGAATCTTTTAGATATTCAAATTACTATAGAAATTAACTAGAGAGCAAATTACAAAGAATATCATAGCAATATCAAATATAGGGAAATGGAGTACATGTTAGGCCACATTTGTTCGCGTTCACTACCAACAACCTAACCTAACATTTACAAATGTAATCAAGGCAAGGTATCGCGTACTACTCATTAACGTTTATTTTTCAACTACACTCTAATTAACTGTATCGACCAACGACTAAAAACCATAGACAAAATTATCGCACGAATTCGATTATAGAAAGAAATCAAACTCCTAGGCATGATACATATCGGAATAATTTTCTATTAATAAATTAGTATTCAAATATCGATACATCATTTTACAGCTGACTTGAAAATTATCCATTTAAAAGAAAAAATCATTAAAATGGAAATTTTACTAAAATAACCAGCCAGGATCACATCTAAAAAAGGATAGAAAAGAAAAATTACCACAGAACCGACTAAATATATAAAATTAAAATCTCAAAGAATTATTAATTTATCATGACTAATTTATTAGGGTTCAACTACTTTTTGTTAAAACGACTTATATTAACTTCGGTTTGAGACTATCGCACACGGTTTAAAAAGTTCTCGAATTTATGGTTCTCCACAGCGACTTTTATAGCAATACAAACGCTTATATTACTGATTTTACATTATCTTGAATGTGCCATAGATTTATAACTTTTTAGACATTCCAAAAACGTTGATAGCCATATTCGATAACTATATTTCGTTTGTATGCTACAGTCGCCGTAGAAGTCCACTCTAATAAATGATTCAGCTACACTTACTTCTAAAACGATTACATTCTTACAAATATTATAACAGCTGACAGAGATACATCGAGTACAGAATAGAATAGACAAGAATTTCCCTGTTTTCAATTTGAGATTTATTTATACAAGTATTATCAAGGAAAAATACATTTGCTTTTTGGTTATTTTTTATATCCCTTAAATATTATTTTGAATGTCGACATACAGACAGGGAACGAAACACTAAAAGTTTAGTTTTTGCCTATAGCCTGAAATATCTTCCCTACTTTTCAACACTAAGTTAAAACCTGTTTTCTTTGCTGCCTTAGGTTTAAAGCAAGTGAATTAATTTACTGACTTCGACCGTACATGAATTCTTTTTACTCGCACCGACAAAATTTAGACAAACAAGATGTCATTTACTTTACATAATTAAGTACATAACATACGAAGGAGCACCATTAATAAAATTAAGAAATACCAAACATTTATGTTGTCATTCCAAAACAATGTACTTAAAAAACTCAAAAAGAAAGTTTCTTAAATTAAATATAATTTAATAATACGTGATATGGCAAAGATATTTTTTGTACGAGAAAATATTAAGATAATCATCTTTCTCCTTATCCTACTTCCATAGGGTCAGCGCAACAGGTTTTTGTAATCCAAATAACTCTATCATACGTCATCACCCTTTTTGATTACGTCACCTTTCACGCAATCCATGTCTATTGAAAAATATGTACTCGAAACATTTTAATCGCTTGCCAAATTATGATGCAATTTTTTTTTGGCACTAATACATTAAATGCGTCAACTTTACATAGCAGCCAATATATAAGGTATATACAAACTTTCATTTCATTTACACTTATGTTCTCTATCAAGAATTTTAAAAATGATTAAATTGTGATTTTTTTACATCATAAAATAATGGAATGTTGTACTACAACCAATGGTCTCTAAATAATTGTTAAAATAACCATCTTTTTAACAAAATTCGCGAGCTCGTAAATTACCATTTGTATTAAAAAATATTTCACAAAAAGTAATAAATTTTGTCAATCGTATCGACGAAAAAAAAGAAAGTATTTTTAAAAATAAAAGTTTTACAAATTACAAAAAAATCGAATTTATAATGTAGAAAAATCAATATAGTTAAAAATGACATTTAAAAATATAAAATATAAAGTATAAATATAATTTAAAGTATATTTCAATTTGTGCGAAAAACATGTTCAAAATCTTACAAAACCGAACGTATAAATAAATAGAAAAAATTTGTTTATCTGTTAACTAACAAAAAAAAACTTTTTATACTTTATTTCTAACATTCCCAAAAATAACCCCAATATCTTAAAAATAACTTTTACATAGCTGCGTATAAAATAAACAGCTTTATGAAAGAATTTTGTGCCCGAGATATGTAGCGTTCACATATCTAGTTACAAAGAAAGGAACAAAACACATCAATTGGTTAACTCTAAGGCACATTAAAACTTTTACACTAAGCGTAGGTTTTCATTGATTTTAGAGTGAAATGCAAACATGGGCGTTGTCAAACGACAACCTAAACCTTAGCTCACTACCATTGTGTTTTTATTCGAAGATTTCTTTGTTTATGAACAGTGGAATCCCACAAGACTAAGTGACGTCATAGAGTACCAACAGTTTTGTTCCTACCTTCATGTGCGTTGACTAGTCATCAATGAGTCCTAACTTGAACACTTCTACATTTTTAAATGCAACGTAACTAACACAACTGTGCAACACTAGTTTAAAAGCATACCAAAGCTGTGACGTAATTTGTATCCTAATCCCTATTCACAAGATTCAAAATTGCTCGAACGTAATACATACAGACGGTCACCGTACGGCGCACCGCACACTCCACGGAAGATAATCACACAACTAAATCTACGAGATTGCATAATTAGTATGTTTATAACACGAGATTTCATATGAACATTATGACAACTGAAATTT